TTAATGAACATCCTTACAGATTCCTTCTCACTTGGAACTTCAATCACCTTAGCGAAAGTTTCCTTCCACCTACTATAAAAAGCAGTGAAACCTTCATTCTCTTTTTGTTTAAGAATTTCAAGTTCCCTATGATCAGTTTCTATTTGAATATTACATTTGTATCTATCAATGTAAACACGTGTAATAGAATCCCAAGTAGTGATCTTCTCAATGCCTATGGAAAATAACCATTGTTGGCAACTGGTTCAAGAGAAAGAAGGAAAAGCGAGGGGAAAACTTTCTTGTCAATCCCCTTGACTTCCATGATTATTTCAAAAGCCCTCAAATGAAAATAGGGATTGTCAGTAGCTTTGAACTTAAGGATGTCATCGGCAAAAAACTAGTCCGGAAGAAGTTCCTTATCCACTTAGACTTCCTTAGAGCTTATTCCAAAGTACTTGTAGTCATTGGAGATTTAACTCAAGCTATCCTCCATGCGCTTGATGGTTTCAATGAGTACTTGCTTGTTAGGATCTTCGACTCGAGTGGTGAATCCCTTGAGCATTTCAGCAAGTCCATTCACAGTTTCTTGAAGTTTCTCGAAATCTTCTTGACTGGCCATTATTACGTACTTTCTTCTCTGTCGAATCGGTTTATCAAAGAGTAGTACTTGAACGAAAGTGTTGTCCTTGATTAAACGCCCTTCTCTCCTTGACCAAGTGCTGTAAAATTAAACCATTGACTCTTTTAATGACTTGACTCGAATTGACTCGTATTTTTATTGGATTGGAAAAGCAAAAAATGGGTGCATATTTTGGGAAACAAAGTATGGGGATTAAATCAAGTTTTTAAGCAACATGGTTTATGTTTAGAATCAAAGTATGGGGACCAAATCAAGTTTTTAAGCAACATGGTTTATGTTTAGAATCAAAGTATGGGGACCAAATCAAGTTTTTAAGCAACATGGTTTATGTTGGGAGGATAATATCCGAATTACCCCGCTAAAAAAATGACGGAAAAACGCACACAAGACTCTATACATGGTCATGGTGAAAATACAAAGTGTGTGCATTGACTCGTGAGTGAAAATGACATGTTCAAGACTCGTGTGATGACCATGGGACTAAATATGTGATTAGAATAAATCAAAGACTAATTTAAGACCTTGTTTAAACATTAAACGGTTAATTATGGAAATTAGACTCGATATGAAGACTCGGAAAGGAAAAAACCGAACCATCGTGTGGCGATGAAATTGTCGCGGAACGCCAGTCCTGTCGCGGCGCGATAAACTTGGCGTTCTGCGGCACAAATCATATTTTCGCACCAAATAGTGGAATGTCAATCTAATTTTTTTTCGGTGGTCTTTCAAAGGTTTAAGCCTATAGTCTTACTACGTCACGTACGTTTTGACTTCATAAGTTCAAATTAATTAACCAATTAATTAAGCAAAGTCCTTTTTTAGTCCTTGGTTAGTTCATTAAGACTTTATTTACAAACAAAACGAGTCAACAAAAAGGGTTAGTTTAATCACAAGTAAGGTATGCACAAGTAATAGATGCACAAGTAGTAAAATAGTCACAATATGATGCAATGAGTTTGCAACCTAACCATGGCTCTAGTTCTCTAAAGGTCAAGAATTATGGTGTCCAAGAGGGCCCATGGTTATGAGTCCGGATGCATCGTGCGGAAGCCTTACCTTTGAAAGGGTTGGCACGATGAATGAGACCCCGCAATTTAGACTTGCTTCCATAGTTTGGTGAATTCACAAACTTAGATGCACCCATTGTTGCACGGAGCGTTCATTAGGGTGGATGGAGCGTGAATTCCTAGGGGCTAAGACCATATGTAGAACACATATGGGTTCGGAAAAGTCGGAAAAAACTCAATCATGAACTAGAATCGTCGAGACAATATTAGAATCGGTCAAAACAAGAAGACAAACTCTTGGCGCAATGTCGCGAGAACTGGGCGCCGCGATAAAGTTGTCGTTTGGCGACAAACTCTGCCGTCTCGCGACAATTCCAAAGCGTCGCGGCAGTTTTCTATGTTCTAAGTTTTTTTCCGATTTTCGTAGTATCTTTTCGATTCTAGTTGTGAAAGATATTTCCAGCTTTTCCTACGTGTAAAATTCCTATATTTTTTACGCATTACGGATGGTCTTTCCAATGCGGACTTTTTTATGCTTATGCCACAATGTTAATCAAAATTACGCACATGAACATTTAGAATCTTTCAAGTCTCATCCACTCATTCTAAATCAATTGCCAAAATAAATTTTAAGAACCAAAATTAGAAATCCTCCCCAATGGAGTCGCCAAAAAACTGTAGGGAATTTTTCAAACTCAACCATGAGCCCCACTGTGATCATGCTTTCAAGCATGGTGGCGTCCAAAGGGAAAGACACTAGAGGTAAAAGAGTCGCCAATAAGCTTTAGGAACTTGTAAACCGTTCACGGGTGTGAAGGTTACACCCCATTCACGATCATGGAGATCGTTAACTCCATAGTGGTCCGAAACCATGACTGGATATTTGGGGATGATGGTACGAATCCAACCTAAAAGAGATTGAACCGCCCTAAATCGGCCTCTACTTAATTCATATGATATTAATGTGCGCTTTTCAATCAACATACATTCAATAAATTAATGCAAAGCATATTTAATCTACGTTGGTTGATTATTAATGCACAAATAAATCTAATATTGGTGATCACTTGAATTAAAATCATATTAAGCCTAAAACAAATTATCAATAATCTTATTAGGCGTGATTTCAAGTACAAATTCCCTTTAAACATGCAAGAAGGGGTGTGATCAAGCAATAACAATAAATAATCGAGCAACGTAATTAATTGACACAACAATCATTATCATAATAACATCAAAACATGATATTATTAGTAAGATCCTAGGCATGATACTAAACGGATTAATAACAAACCCTAGCATTTCATTGATAAAAATCATAATCAAACTATTAGCCTAAACATGATACTAGAAATCAACATGATATTAGAAATACTAATTAACACCCTAAACATGATACTAGGAATCAAAATCAACATCCTAACATGATACTAGGAATTAAAATACTATTCTAAGCATGATACTAGGAATTAAAATAAGATCCTAACATGATACTAGGAATTAAAATAAGATCCTAACATGATTTTTATATCAAAGGAATAAATACTAGGGAGATCAAATTACTCACTGTGATGCCTCGTATTTCTTTCTATCAAAACAATACACACGTTAGTAGCTTCAAGAAAGATTAATTCAAATAAACCAAATAAATCAAACAAGAATTGAAATATAGATTTGGCACCAAACCCTCAAAACTATCAACCTTTCACGTCGAGGTCGAAGACAACTTCGAGATTGGCTTGGAGTATTCAAAGCTCGTGATGGAGGTACGATGTGTGATTGGGAAAAGAATCAAGGATATGTTAGGACGTGTTTAGGCTAGGCTAAGAAAAGAATCAAGAGAGAGAAAAAGTATTATAGAAAGGATTAGATGATGATTATTGTTGGTGATCAAGCTTGTTGATGATTGAAAACGGGGTAAAACGACCTCTATTTATAAGGAAAAAGAGAGTCGAAGGATCAAAAAAGAGTCAGAATTTGAATCGGAATAAAACTCTTTTTATCGAGGCGCGACAGGCTTATCGCAGTGCGATAGGTCCATCGCAGCGTGATAGATAGCAGTTTTTGAGGTTTTTGTCATAACTTTTGATCTAGAAACTGGACTAAGATAAATAATATATCGTAGGAAAGATCTAGAAGTCTACTTTCTAACCCAATTAGAATCAGATTGATATATTTTGTAGATTAAAAGATATGATCGAAATAGTGGAGAAGTGTCAGTTTGGGATAAAGTTAGGTATTTCATTCATATATTTTTCGTTATAGCTCGGAATTGAGATTATGATTTATCATTAGAAAGATAATTTCAAGAGCTATCCAACCATATAAGATTTGGATAAAAAATATAAGGTACAAAAATTATATCTGAACGTCTTTAAATTCGAATAGAACGAGGAATATCAAAAAGAGGAGTTTTATTCAATTTCAAACTCTTTGATCTTTATCTTTCGGAAAAGATAGATTAGAATCTTCTAGAGACTTCTAGAATTCCTAATGAATCCTAATTGGTTTAGGATTGTGATTAAGGTATTTGGACCCTCACATGATCATTGGGTCGTAGGTAAGGTGGACATAGGTCCGATTTGGGCTTAGTTTAGTATTTTGGCCATAAACTATTCGTTATAAGTCGGATTTGGGCTTATAATATATTGTTGGAAAGCTCTTTTCAAACCCCATCCAACTAAACAATAATTGGACCATGATTATGGAGCAAAATAAACTGGTTTGGACACGAAATGAATGATTTTAAGTTTAAAGGCACAAAATGAATGATTTTGGGTTTAAAGGCACGAAATGAATTATTTTGGTTTAAAACATTTAAGGAAAGGTTAGAAATGGTCAAGGTTAAAGGGAATTTCAAGAGACTTTTCAACTCTACACTTAACTCGATAATCAAAGATGTGAAAAATACTCATCACTGAGTTTTGTTTTTGGGGAGACACAATCAGGTGTCTACAGTAACATACAGGATCAAGGCCTTATAAGATAATAAATTTTAGTGATAGCCAATTAAATAAAAGATTTGTAAATTTTCTTAGAATTAAATAATTCAAATGCCACATAAGCAAAATTGGCGAATGATATTTTAAAATTTAAATTAATGAAATATAATATATTATCTTTTGAAATTTGGAATTTTATTTTAATGTTTAACCGAAAATTCACAATTTATTATAAAATAAAATATTAAATAATGTAGTACATACAACGAATAAAATAACAAATTTTATCACAAAAATACATAAAAAAAATTTGTTTTAAAAATACAAATAATCATACATCGTACGGGCTTCGTCCAGTAAAAATTACTCCGAAATGTTTTTTTTTTACTTTATCAAAAGACACTTAAGTGTCATCATTGGGCCCGGAGTTTCAGACGAATCACTTATGGAGTAATAATGACGAATAATGTTAAAAGAGCAGGAGACCTCCATAGTTCGTTGAACTTCTCTTTCTATCTCTGTATTTCACAATTTGTTTCTTCCCTTAAATTTTAAGAACCGAAAATGATGAATATGAAAATCGTAACTCATCTAATCTTAGTATTGACGATGAGTATGGTATCATTTGCGTTGTCTAACAATTATCATACCACATCAAATTCAAATACATCGCATTCAAATTCAAATTCAAATACTGTTCGATATCTACCTGGCTTCCCTGGAGTTCTCCCTTTCAATCTTCAAACTGGGTATGTTTCCATGTACGTCCTCGATTAATTTCTCTCTTTTTTTTTTTTTTTTTTTTTTTTTGGTGAAACTTATTTAGATGTTTATGCTTGTTAATTCACAATTTATGCTACAAGTTATAGGAAAACGTTGTTAATTTAATGGGTCTTTTGCTAACCATATTCAAAATTACTACTTTGAAATTTAAAACTCTAACTACTTGTAATTATAAATTCAGATGCTTCGAGTTATTATACTTTATAACATTCATACGCTTCTGCATAACTGATTACTTCTTTTTTCGGCCTTTTTTTTGGATTATATTTTCAAATGGTGAATTATACTCTCTCCATATATAAATACTTGCTCCATTTCTAAGAGAAATTGGAAAAAGTAATAAAATATAGAGGTAGTAGGATAGGTAAAAGAATAAAAAAAATGTAAAAAGCAAAATTAGTTAAGAGAATTGGAGGAGAGAGAACGTAAAATTAATAAAATATAATTTATGTTAGGTTAACTAGCTGAAAGAAGTGAATTAAATATTGCAAAAGTTTTGAAGCAAGTATTTAAAAAATGTCGAAAATAAAAAGTGGAGCAAGTATTTAAAAATGGAAGGAGTATTTTAATTTTTGAACTACAAATTGTACATTGTAAAACATTTGTTTTATATTTTGTATATTGTTTATATTGCTACCTATTTTACAAAGTTTTACGGAGTATGTAGGACTTAAGTAACTCTGTTTCTTGAAAAACTTATACGAAGCATTTAGTACTTTGTATGTATTTCAATTGAGATTGCTAGTAGTTAAACTTATTTTTGTTGTAATTTGAAATTGAGCAACCCTTATCAAAACTTATTTTTCTTAAACTAAATTTATCTGAACTTATTAAATCTAACATAAGTGAAAATAAGGTGAACAGAATAGACCCAAAATTTTATTCATTATTTTAAAAGCTTTTAAATATATATACTCCATTACTCCCTAATCCAACAAAGTCATTGAGTTGGTTGATTAGATTATATCATTAGCCACAAATATTGACTTGAATTGTTTTAAAAAAAAAAATTAAAAATAAAGAATTGAATTTAAATTAAAAGACGTACCAAATTATTACACTTCTTTTGTGTGTGGCAGTGTCTAACTTAACTATTTTTGTTTTTCAATATTATTGTTTCCTTTGAACTTTAAACGATAGTACAACTACGTAATTTATACGGAGTATAATTTATGTAACACAGCATGACAAGGACACGAGTGGGCATAGCATGATAACGATGGTGCACATTATACTATGAGAAATTTATAACATGACAAAACATGTTAAATTCAATCAAGCACGCAAAAACAACATGGTTATGAGTTGTTTGTTTTTATTTTATTTTTTATTTTATTTTTTATTTTTTTTGGAATCAGATGATTATGATTTTAGTCCATGCTTAAGTAGTTGAGTTTTGTTCGGTCAATGGCTATATTGAAAATAACTTTGTTAGATTAGGAATAGAATTTAAAAACAATTATACTGATAAATAGTTTGGTTAGAATGACTATTTCATCAAAAGATCCCTGGTTTAATGATCAAATTTGAGATAAGTCGAACAGATCCTCACAAATATATTTTTCTTCACAGATCACAAAAGAAGGTTAATAAGAAATGTGTTATGGGGAAAATTCTAATAATGCAATTAAAAGATTAGAAATGTTTTTTTAAAGTTTCCCTAGAGTGAAAGTAACCAGACGAAACAATCCCTCACTCCTACGGTTCTACACGTAGTCCTTGTACCTTGGGTGAGACAAATTGCTTTGTCACATGAAGAAACTTGATGTAATGTTACATTGCTTACTATCATTAAGTTATAGACAAGTATTGAAATAGTTTTTTTTTTTCTAAATTAATGATGTGTTTGACAATTGACACTGACCATGTCATAGGCTGATAAATCATTCGGTCCAAATATTAATATACGGAGTAGTATGTTATGTTATTTTTATTACAAATTTACTAATTTGTTGGGTAGCATGAATAATTTAATATCAACATTCAACAACACTGGCGGATCTAAGGCACAAGGGGTAGCCACAAAAAAGAAAAGAAAAAAAAAACTACTGTTGATCAAAGAGATCTGTTATTATCGATAGCGGGTCTCTTTCATTCAGCATAGCAAATTCACAGTACTGCGTACAAACTTCTGCTGATCTTAGCTTTAAACTAAAGAGACCTGTTGTGTATAACAACAAGTCTCTTAGGTTCTTTTTTTTTTTTTTCCTTTTTTTTTTTTTTTACTTTTGCTTCTACTTTATATGTTTGCATAACTAATTATGTATTCAACTATTTTTTTTTTTTAAGTCTTTCATTTAATTTATGAAAAATCAAGTATTAGAATTTATGATTTTTAAATTATAAAATAAATATATACTCATGCTTTAATTATTTTTTATTCATCGTATATGATACCAATTATAATTTTTTTTTTAAATGAGTAGCTTATTATTCTTAAAAACTCCTTCATTTGATGAAATTCTTCCTATTTTATTGCACTTTTATTTCAATACACATATTTAGTAAATAATTTATTTACTTCTCAATATTTAGTTTTATATGAGTAAAACAATAAGAAAATATATACTCCTAGTATATAATAGCATAAATTACCATGTACAAAGTAGTTTTAAAACTTGTTTTCAAAGAAAAAAAATTAGTTTTTTAAACTTATGATGTACGGAGACAACGGAGTACATAGAAAGATAATCTATTGAACTTATAGAGTACTTTTTAATTTAATCATTGTATTATATTGATAACTAGAATATAAATTATTCCATGTTCGTAAAACGAAATTTTATGAAACAAAACAAATGTTTTTTCATTAAAGGCTAATTAACGCTAATGTATATAATAACTCGTTTATACCTTTTTTTTTCTCTTATTATTCAATGGCTAAATGCTATCCCTACTTAAAATTTCTGGATTCGGCACTGATCAACAATATTATTATTATTGTAGATATACTGGAGTATGGGAGGAGCAAATGCAACTATTTTACTACTTTATAAAATCCGAGAATAACCCAAAAACAGATCCACTTTTGGTTTGGTTTGCTGGAGGACCTGGCTGCTCTTCCTTTACGGATCTTGTTTTCGGACATATTGGTAAATTCACCTTTTCTTTTGTTTATTATCTTCTTGAGGGGATAAATCCACTTTATGTGTCTCAATATCATCTCATCATCTTACTTAACTTTAATTGTCCGTTTGATAAATGATAATAAATTGTAGTAATGAAATGAATTCAATTATAATATGTATAAAAATTTGTAACTCGTAGTTTATGCCTCTAGTTTTGCAAGTTAAAATTGCACATAAAAAAAATAAAAATAAAAATAAAAATAAAATAAAATAAAAAATTTACCGTCACTATTATTTGAGGCCTCGAGGGGTTCTATTGAATACGGAGTAGTAGTCACACGAAGTATATGATAATTTTCTTGTAATGTTACAACTAAATTCATTATTATTAGACTAACTACCTTAATTTAATTAGTATCTATCTCCTACCAAATGGAGGCATGAAGCCATAGTAACAATTGAAATATGTTAGCACACACGACCTTTTTTTCAAAAAAAGAAAAAGAAAAAAAAAAACAAAATAATAATTTGAGGCCCATCCTCAACTTTAATTAAAATATAAGCTTTTAAATCCTAATAAACTAATGTTGTGATGACAAAAAAGGTCCTCTATCGTTCAACATATCATCACAATGGGAGGATGGTCTACCGAGACTTGAATCAAATCCTTATTCATGGACTAAGGTAATTCAACTATCTATCTATTTATTACCGCGGTTTTTATGTACATATAATTTATCTATATTGCTCTAAGAAAGTTCACTCCATCCTGGATTTATCCTAATATTTATATGAGTACGTATGTTGTTAAAAAAATTGTATTAGTACATAGTTTTAGGTAGGGGTGAGCAAAAATTCAGGGTAACCTGAATCGAAATCGAAACCTGTTAGGAATCGTAGGTTTCGGAATCGGAACCTGTACAAGAGGTTTCGGTTCCAGGTTCCGGGAAGTAAAATAGAGAACCTGTTGCAACAAGTTTCGGTTCAGGTTCTCGTTTTTTGGAACCGAAACCTATAGGGTACCTTGTAACCTAATAAAAGTGTTACTTAAGCCCAAATCACATATCAATTTAAGCCCAATTTTTACTTAATATAAATAAAATAAATTGTTATAACTATATATATTAAATTTGGTAAACAACTATTTTTGGTTGTTATATTTGCAAACTGTAAATTTATGACCCTACAATTTAAAAAAAAAATAATTGCAAAAAAGTACGAAATATAGTAAAAGAGAGGGTACCCTGAATTGGAACCTCTAGTTCCGGTTCTCAATTTTCAGGAACCTGTGCAACAGGTTTCGGTTCCGATTCTCATTTTTAGGAATCTGTCGTAACAGGTTTCGGTTTCGCTTCCATAAAATTTAACAGGGTATCCTGTTATACTCACCCCTAGTCTTATGTGATAAGTGGATGATATGTTATCAATTATTATTTCACATGAATGTAAATAAATGTGATACAAAATACTAGTTGTAGATTACATTTTATCATTTTATAAAATATACTACCTTCGTTAATTGTTTTGTGCAACAAAACTGGAGTGTGCGGTTGCCAATGCAAAACATAAAGGGCAAAGTTTAGGAAAAGTTAATGCACTTGTGATATGTAATTAAGGTGGAGAGAGATTAATTGATCAAAATCCACTGCCACCACCACCACCAAGACCAGGCAACACCACCCACACCGCCTTCAACAACACCATCGCCACCTTCATCACCCCCACGAAACCACCACCACTACCAACCCCCCACGAAACCACCACCACTACCAACCCCATGAAACCACTACCACCCCACGAAACCACCACCACCCTCACGAAAACCCAGAAATCTAACCTTCCCCTCCACCACCAGCCCAGACCACCCCACCAAACCACCCCACCACCCATGTACCCAGACCCACCCACCACCGTAGAAAACCCCTTAATCCTAACCCACCCACCACCCTACCCACCAGCGTAGAAACCCAGAAAATCAAAACCTATAAAATCGAAACCCATAAAATCAATACCCATAAAATTGAAACCCATAAAACTGAAAAAAAAACCTAGAAAATTCGAATGTAAATCACCCAAAATCAAAGCCCAAAGCAGATCCGGCTGAAATTCGAGAACCAAGTTCCAAGCCCAAAGCAAATCCGGCTGAAAATTCGAAGAGAGAGACAGCGTTGGTGGGAGCTAAGGACCGTGGTCATAGGGAGGAGAAAGGCGGTGGGGGGATGGAAGGTGGTCGTGAAGGAGGAGAGAGAATGGTGGTGGGAGGGGTGGTGGTCGTGAATCGTGAAGGAGAAGAGAGAATGGTGGTAGGAGGGGCGGCAGTCGTGAAGGAGGAGAGAGAATGGTAATGGGAGGGGCGGCGGTCATGAAGGAGGAGAGAGGATGGTGGTGGGAGGGGCGGTGACTCGTGAAGGAGGAGAGTGAATGGTGGTGGGAGGGGCGGTGGTCGGTGAAGGAGGAGAGAGAATGGTGGTGGTGAAAGAATGGTGATGGTGAAATAGATGAAGAGGATGAAGGTGAGAGAGATAAATGGGTGGTAGGTAAACTAGGAGATGAGTAGATGGGGTGGGTAGAATTAGGTTCATGATTTTAGATTAGATTAAAAAAGGTTATTGTGATTAAAATAAGATAAGGGTAAAATTAAGAAAATTAATTTTTTTAAGTAAGGTTAAATATGTAATTTCTAGGGTTTTTTTTACTAAAAATGGAAAGAAAACAGAGAGTTGCACATAACCCTGATTATCCCGAAATGGCAAAAGTTGCACATAATATTTAATTGAGGCAGTAATTGAGATCAAAGATAAAGTGAATTAATTCTTAATTTATTATGAGAGGGAGCTGAGTGATCTAACTTTTTATTAGCAGAAGAGAGATATTTGAATAATTATAGTATCTTTCTTAAAACAAAACAAAAGTTATAGAGTTAAAAAAATAAATATAGAAAATCCATACATATTGAAGATTTGTAAGTATATCATCCACCACTACATCAACTCACACCACATCAACTAACAATCAAAGAGTTTCATTTCCTTTCCTTTTCCCCTCAATCCCTTCCTTGATTTCATGCCCTTATCCTTAGGCTGCCAAAATATTTATTGTGAAATTTAAAATAAATAAAGTGTAAATCCAAAACATAATAAAGTGTGCGATTTACATATTTAAAGTAAATATTTATTGTAAAGTAAGGCATCATATATACTCACTATATGAAGTTTTTCTACTGTTTATTATGTAAACTAACCATACAATGAATGTGTTTTAGGTTGCAAATGTATTATTTCCAGATTCACCTGTTGGAGCTGGGTATTCCTATGCAATCAACAAATCTTACATTCCTAGTGATACAAACACGGTAAAACAAGCATATGAGTTTTTGAAGAAGGTTAGTTCATTTATTAGTGAATTAGTGTGCTTTTACTGAGGGCATGCTTGGATTGAAATTGAGTAATGTATTATAAGAGTAATAAAAGTCAAATTAAAGAAAATAATACAATTGAATACTTTGTATAAGGAAGGATGAGATAGTAATGTTGTGAAAGGTGAAGAAAAGTGAACTATTCCTCTCATTCTGGGGGGTAATAGTTATCTTATAGGGGGTGTATATCTATTACCTTTATTATGAGAATAATAATTCTCTATTTCTCTCTTTTCCTCACATAACAAATACTTTGTTATCTTATTTGTAAACAATTTATCTCCTATAACATCACTTGTAATCGCTTATATTTTTCCAAGTTTGACTTTATTAATCTTTAAATCATTGTCCTCAATCCAAACATGGCCTAAGAGGTTAAATTTGATGTATTATTTCTAATGGTTCCTTGCTAGTTGCTACTTGCTAGTATCATGTTTCTCACTTTCTCTAGTTTAATTATTCCCCTTCTCCTTCCCAAACGTTATTGTCCCTGTCTTTTTCCCTTTTTCCAAACACTTTCAATTTCATTTTAACGTTTTTCTTCGATATAGACTCATCTTATCAATGTTCAACAATAATTTTTTTTCAATTTACTAATATAATCTAGTTATAATTTCCAATTACTAAAATAAAAGAGTACTCTGTATTATCATTAGTCTAATCTGACCTTTTGTCTAGTAAGAAAGTATGTGTAAGTTGTCCGAGTTCATGATGAGACACATATAAAATATTGGACATTTTATATAAGTTTTTAGACATTTTACATAAGTTTTATTGGACATATACATAGTCTTTAGGTGGTTAGATTTGCGAATAAACGAACACGCTTAATACTTTGTGTTTTGTTAATTGAAATCTTGGTTCATACAGTGGCTTATCGAGCATCCCGAATTTGCAAGAAATCCTATGTACATCACCGGTGCTTCATATGCTGGAAAAGTCATTCCATCACTTGTGTTAGAGATTATGAATGGTACTTTCGACGATTTATTCACTTACATATACTCCTTTCGTTTTTTAATGTCATAGTTTGACCTTTCGTTATTCACGTAATGGTTTTGCCTGAGTTTTCATAAGCTAAACCGACCCGAGAAATCAACATGTACCAAAAATGACTTGAATCCAACTTGCACCCAACCAATGAGTTGAAACTAGTGACCCATAACTTGACCTAATTAAACTGACCTAGTATTAACAAAAATGGTTTCGACCTAATACTCTATGACTCAAACTCGAACTTGCACCCAATTTGATTTCAATTTACAATTGATTTAGCCCGACCCAACAATGATCTATACCCGAACAAGGACCTAGCCTAATTAGAACCCAAATTGAGACATAATTTGTTATTTACCTCACCTGTGGTGACATGTAACATAACTCAAACTTATTCGTCTCATCTTTGATAACTCGACCTACCATATTGAACAAAACAGAAAATTAAATATGGAACAAGATGTCTTGACCTTGTTTATGTTCGCAATTAAATAGGTTTAATAGCATATTAAGGCCTAATTCTATAGGTTGAACTTGATTAAACCTATGTTGATCATTATCTAACCTAATAATTATTAAACCCAAACCTTGAGGCCAGTAATCAACAATCTGGTTCGAAAAAGGCGTGATTTTGGGCCGCTCTAAAATTGTTTATAGACCAAAACTCAAGTCTAGCCAAAAAAAAAAATCCCGAAAAGGCTAAACCCATCTTTGCTTGACCTTATTTTGCGAGTTTGGGCACTAGTGTTTTCATATACTTATGTTTGACACGACTCAATTATTTATAATCTCTACCCAAATTTATCGGTCACAAACATACTCCAAACCCAAATTTATTGGTCATAAACATACTCCAAACCCAACTCGATATAACCCGAACTTGAAATGGAATTAGACACAAATATGACTTGAATCGGACCATACTTACACCTAATAGGGTAAATGACCTGACCCCCTACCCTTGTTATGACTTTGACATGAAACCTAAGTTGACCCAACTTGAACCTAACCTGAATATGAAAATTGACTTATCTAGTTTTGACTTGATATTTTTATTAACTAGCTAGCCATATGTGCATGTGATGTAAGCGTTAATTTATGGTACAAGTAATATACTCGCTTTCTATCTTTAAGTTCTATGTTATGACCGTAACGAAAAGTGAAAATAGAGTTCATGTATTTGACTCTTTTGCTTTAAAGAGAAGAGATAGAAAGTAAGAGAATCTTTATTACTACTTCTGTTAAGTTTTAGTTGCAACTTGAAGGTACAACATGGATCTCAAGTCAAAATTTTATAATGGTGATTATGGGATAAAGGGTATGTGATTAAGGAGGAGAGAGATATAATAAACATAATTAATTAACCACACAAGCCACTTACCAGGTGACCAGGTCACCACCACCAAAACCCCCTAAACCCAGACCATCCACCACAACCAACACCACCATAACCCCCAAACCTAGACCACCACCACCACTGACACCACCGAAACCCCCAAACCCAGACCACCACAACCACCGAAACCCCAAACCCAGACCACCACCACCGACACCACCAAAACCCATAAACCCAGACCATCACCACCACCAACACCCACCAAAAATCTCAAAACCACCCACAAACCCAGTGAAACCACCCACAAACCCACCGAAAATCACCGAAACCACCAACAAACCCACCAAAAATCACCGAAACCACCCACAAACCCACTGAAATCCTTAAACCCAACTACCCACAAACCCACGAAAATCACATCCATGAAACCCACGAAAACAACCATGGATGTTGCTTCCCTTCTTGCTACAAAACCACCATAGCCACGGCGATGTTGTTGGTAGTGTTTGCCGGAGTCTGAAAGTGAACAAATCTGAAAGACCACTCAGATTCAAACAAGATGGTGGAGAGAGAAAGCGAGAAAATCTAAAACAGGAGAGAGAAAGATAAAGATGATGATGATGGGTTATGATTTGATCAATTAATTTGGGAAGTTGAAGGTTAGTAGATGAATTAATTTACTACTTTGGAGGTGATGAATTAAATTTGGGTTGAAATTTTTAGTTTCATTAAGTTCTAATTTAGGATTGTAATTTGAATTAAGAAATTTTAAGTAAGGGTATTTTGGAGATTTCATTTAAAAAATTTTACTAAAAATGGAAAAAAATGGAAAGGTTGCAACTAATAGTAAGCATTCATATATAGTAAAAGTTGCAACTAAAAATTAACGGAGGTAGTATAATTAAATCTCACAAAGTGGGGTTGTAATAATTGGTAAAAAAATGAATAAAAAGTTGTCATAAAAAAGGAAAAAGGTAAAAGTAAGTAGAACATAGAATAACGGATGAAAAGGAAAATTGGGTATAACTTAGGAAAACAAAAAGGAGTAATTATATAATAAACTATTCAACAATAAACAAAATGAGATCATGTATAATTTTGGCTTTGTGAAATTATATAGGTTGCATGTTGAAAATTCGGTGTTTAATGCTTAGCTTGCCAAATTTTTTATTGTAATTACTGTAAATATTTAATAAATGTAATTGTTTTAACATTTTTTTTCTTTTGTTAATATTTGACTTAGTAAATTTGGTGCTCTTGTTCTCTTTACCTTCTTCAAATAATATTTATTAAAAGTAATTTCAATTTAGCAAAAGTAATTTCATTCATGAAGTTGTAATCAATAAAATCGGTAATTTTAAAGAACTAATATACTAAAGAATCAGTAAAATTAAGTAATAGTTTGAATTTAGCAAAAATAATATTTGTTCAACATAAATAAAATAAAAGGAACAAGGGTATATACTCAATAAATTATTTATCATTTGATAGATTGTGTCCCCTTTCCGTTGCTCGTAGTGAATTTGGTACTAATTATTTAGTTAAATTATGAATTATGATGATATGTACTCTGTTTAAGGTAAAACTACTCTGTCCACGTGGACCAATCGTGTGCTAACACGTGTTAGCCTCAGAGGGGTCCTAAGAGAACCAATCATCTGGTGACAAGTGGCACTCCAACCCATGAAAGGAGAACTGATCCTCTTACACTATAAATAGAGGAAAATCCTCATTTATTGCATATTGATTCATATACACACTAAACCCGAGCAATATTAATTACAGAATTCTCTCGGAATTCGAGAGAAAAACCTTTACATTCTGCACTTTTATGCATCCGGATATGTTCTAACTTGATCGTCGGAGGCGGAACTCCACCCAACCGGAGTTTTCTGTGGTTTTGCAGGTACAGTTTTGCAGGTACAGATGGTTGACGCACGTTCTTGGAATTGTAACTCTCCCGAGGGATACAAAAAACCCCGAAACATTTGGCGCCGTCTGTGGGGAGAGTACTTCTGAGATGGCATCAGAGTCTGTACCGCCTACTAAAGGCAAACAGCCTACGGCCGAAGCCGAGGTCCACATGGGCCAAGATAGCAGTGACGACCTTGAAGTCGACACCTATGTGGCCCTAGACGAGTCATTCAGAACAAGACGCACCCGTTCCAAGGAAACAAGGGAACGGGACGAAGACAAAGCTGGTCCAAACAACCCAACCGTCAAGCCGGCTGAGACACCCCAGGCAGCAAAGGGTGCTACCCCCGTTACAAGAGACGAACTCATGAAATTCATGATGAGTTTCAAAGGGGAAATTAAGGACCTTATAAACAAGTCTACTGGCACCAACAAGGGTCAGTAGGCCAAAAAGCCTTCTCCCTTTTGAAAGAAGGAAGTGAAGGATCGAGTGCTTGCTCCTCACCCTAAGCCAAAGGGGATGGATGGGCCCATGTTTTATCTATCAATATTTCGTTTCCCTGAAGTAAGAAAAAGGAAGGCCATTCGGCAGATCCAACCGGATGGATAAAAAAAGACTTACTCGGATGCACGTATGTTAATCCAGCGGAATAGAAATCAACGATTGTCTGAGTCGGCTTCAACGTCGACTTACCCAGATAGTTTCCGGAACACTTCGATGAGGTATTCGGAAACAAACCGAGAGAGTCAGTCACGCGGCATGTTCACACGTACTGGCCCTCAGATTATCTTGACGGCTCCGTATGTGCCCAAACAGCCATACATGCCGTATGGATCACCCTACATGCAGCCGGCCCTTTTTGAGGGTCAAGCGGCACAAAATGTCCAGCCCATGGACTGGCAGCTCCGGCTGTTAAACCTTGGAGATCAGCCGTCGGCGTTCTCCAGGAGATAACCGCATGTTAAGAATGTGTTGGTTGGTACCTATGACGGTACCACCAACCCGGAAGACCACCTAATGGCTTATACCAACCTCATGTACTTACAGGGGTTGGATGACGCCGCCTGGTGTCGATGCTTCCCAGCGACGTTGAAGGGCATAACCCAACGTTGGTTTGACAATCTGCCAGCTGGTTGCATCTACAACTTCAAGACGCTTGCATACTAGTTCGCGTCCAACTTCTCTATGAACATCACAGCCAAAAAGACAAATCTTGATTTGGGGGCTATTCATCAAGGAGATAGAGAAGAGCTAAGGTCATATGTCAGGCGGTTCAATCTGATGAGAATTCAGATCCAGGGGTTGTCTGACGAATTAGCCTACACAGACATCTTCAAGGGTCTGAAAGACGGGTCGATTTTCAAATTCGACTTGGTCAGAAAGATGGTGGCTACCCTCCAAGAAGCTCTGATGGAAGCCGAAGCCTATATACAGGCGACGGAGCTTTGTGCCATCAAGCAGCCGTCAGTTCCTAAAAAGTCCGACAAAAAAGAGAGCCGGTTAGCTCAGCCGGTCAAAACAGAAGAGAGCAAGAAAAGAAAAGAAGTCTAGGTGGCGGACAATCCTAGTCAGCCGTCCCAGAAGAAACAGAAAGAGTTGAAGCCGTACGTCTCCAAGTACGAGTTCAACAAGGACTTCTCCTCCATCCTCATGAAGATTAAAGACCAGTTGACCATTGTGAAACCGGCTGCAATGAAAAGTCCCATCAAAAGCCGGGACAAGAGCA